CCAACCTACATGCGACTGCCTCCAACCTACTAGCGATGGCCTCCAACCTACTGGCGATGGCCTCCTACATGCGTCTGCCTCCAACCTACTAGCGATGGCTTCCAACCTACTTGCGATGGCCCTACGAGCGATTTTTCACTCAGCCTTTTGGCATTTCGGCTTTGGAAGTGCCCCGAGCCGCCAACCTCTCAGCCATGATTGCAACATGCATTCTTTAGCAATCTTTCTTTTGGGAATACTGCGGTTTCTAACCGTGGTGGTGCTCGGATGCTCGTCGAATATTTCGAATTGTTTTCTCTCCCTTTTGGGCCACATGTCAAATTTCATTTTCCTGACCTCAAGCAACGTATTTTTGTCCGTGGAGATTTCTATCTAATTAAACTATATGTATCTATATGTTAAACTGATCAGAAGAGACATGAAGTTAAGAATGACAGACAGTCAGAGTCAGGAGAAGACATGATTAGAGGTGCCAACGTATCAAATGGTTTCGGGATCTTTCGGGGCTTTTTGCAGGTTCTTTGAGCGGGGTCAAAAACGTGAAACGGGTTGAGAAAGGCAAATTAGATATGGAAGCCAACCATAGCCAACCACTCGACGAGCGGCAAAGCAGGTGGGAGTGCCTTGAACACTGCCGTTCATTTGGAGTCATTGGCTCCTGGCCGTGTATCTCGTTCGCGAGAGTGACATTGGTGGACAGCGAGATGCTTTCCATCCAACTTGTTGACTTAAGATAGATGTGGGAGAGCCTAATTGGGTACAGGTCCCAAAGCCGTGAGCCACAACAACTTGGAGGTCTATTCTTGTTGTAGTAAGTTTTTTGCAGCAAACTTAAATAACAGCTATGTACTGCACGTCTAGAATCTATGTGCACATAGTATATACTGAGCTTTGTTTAGTTTAGTTTTCAAAACTATCCTGGCCACCTGAAGACGATTGCCAAGTGCCCCGTTCCAGGTCTCGTTCTACGCTGCTGGGCGCAGAATGGTCAACGAGACGGGCAGTTTTTTTGATTTCCGGACATGGTAAGATTTCCTGTTGGATTGAATTGATGAATTTAATAGCTGCTGCTTTGGCAAAGTCCAGATTGACGTTGATGTAGCATTTTTACTGGTGATCGGATTTTTCTTGTGATGTAAACGATGCTAGCATTAGCTAGTGAAAGTATCAGCAATTGTGTTTTTGCATTTGAGATTGTGTCAGTGTTTGCTTCACCGCTGGATTGTTCCATCCCGAGGCGTCAGTGGGCTGCGACGCGTTGGCGGAGACACTGCTGGCGCAGTGTGGGCGGTTGGACTTGCAATTGGCGCGGCACAAGGAAGCTCCTACCGGCTCCTGCATGGTGGCGTGGCAACACATAACAAGATGGAACCCACGAACCCGAATGCAAACGCGTTCGAAAAATGAATATGTCCAAATGACACTCTTTAGGACACTCTTGTGGGACTTTCTTCTAGGACACTCTTGTAGGACACTCTTGTAGGACACTCTTGTAGGACACTCTTGTAGGAAACTCTTGTGGGACACTCTTGTAGGACACTCTTGTGGGACACTCTTGTAGGAC